AAAAAAAGATATTTTTGATTTTATTTTTCTCACAAGTTGCATAATTTTTCTATCTGAATTTTTATTTGTATATAATTAACTTTTCTTGACTTTTTTCCCCTTTATATTTCAATATTATCTTTTAAAAGAAAAGTCAGTTTGAAGTGAATTGGTGATTTTTAAAAATTAATAACTTAATGTAACAAATGTTCTAGTATGTTTTAAGAGTAAATATTATTTGAGGATACTGATACATATCTCGCAGATTTGATTAACCCTTTATATCCTGACGACACTCATGCATTTGGTTCCACTTAACATTAAATAAAATAATATTTCCATAATCCAACAGATTTTCTTGATCTTTTTATTAAAATAGTTTTCGTATCTAACTACAAAAGCACACTAAAAGTTTAATCTAATCATGATAATTAAAAATATGTTTCACAAGTTTTCTGAAAATATAATTTGGGATATAAAGTGCTATTACACAATTCCACTCTAATATATAAGTGTTTATCCTATTCAATATTTGATACTTATGACTAAGTAGCATATTATTACTAATTGAAACTGCAATGTTAAAAGTTTTGTTGGAGAGGGAAACGGCGAGTCAGGAATTTTATTGTAAAAGGTCAGGAAAAACCTGCAAAAGTCAGTATATTGTTTTCTTAAAATAGTGTAGGAACCCTGGATGTGTGTTTAAACAGTTTTTGCGGACATGTATCATAGTTATTTTGACTTTAATCATTAAATATCCAAACATTGTTTCACTTGGTCATTCTTAGACACTTGGATAATAAGTTACGCTGGTTAATCTTAACATGTTTTGCTTTTTGTTCTAAGAAAAACATTTGGTTTAAATTTATATCATAAACTGATTTCTTAACATTATGTCCTCAGACTTGATTGCTCACAATCAACCTAGCATATTGCTTACATTGAAAAAAAGGAATCCTCTATATATACACCCAATATATATTCATGTCTGCATGCTTTTTAAACAACTTGCACTGTAATTGTTTATTTATTTATTAATTTATTTTTTTAATTGCTGTATTCATTTTCTAAGAGATGGGAAATACCTATGCTTGCAACTGCCATTTTTCATTTTGTAAAAGAAATTGAAGAGAGATAATAAGCATGCCCTAATTGAAAAACAAAAACAATATTAAGAACTTATCAAAGTTAAATTTTACTTCCATTTCAGTTGAAAATCTTTCTGTAAGAGCTGAAGTTTGTTTAGGGGATTACTGTTAGAACACAATTACAATGCTGATGTAAGTGAATTATAAATTGTTTTTCAAATATTTTAAAATATTCTTTAAACTTAACATTGTAAAGCAGAGGGTTTTGATTTCAAGCTGCTAATTATGTTTAAATATATCTTTGTGAAAAATTAAGTAAATAAATATAAATTAAAACTTACAAATTTCATATAAAGGAATGACCTGGTCAGAATGTATGTCTATAATTATGTCTAAATATTTTAACAATGAAATTATTTATTTAATTGTTAATATAGTTTGAATTTCAACTTTTGTACATTTTACAGACAAGGAGGACCTACAATATTATTACTTGGGTTTCTTGAATTTTTCTTTTATTTTCAATTAACTTCCATCTTTATAATTATTCTTTTCTAATCGTGAATGACTTTCATGAATCAGATTGAAATTTTCACTAATTCTTTAATTTATTTTTAGTGCAAAAAAAAGCCAAAACAAAGTAAAGCAGAAATAAATGAATTTCTCATAAATCGGGAACGTGAAGATTTAGATGTCATGCTTGAAAAGAAAAATTTTTTAGACTGTAGTAATGGTGTTGATAATGTTGAAGTGAATGGTACAGACATTGAAAAACCCAATGGTGAAAGTGTGCAAATGCAAATTTCTAGTTCAGATGAAAATGATATTGCAGACTATTTAAAAAGTGAAGAAGATAGTAAAAGAACTAACATGAACCATTGTGATGATAACTTAAATATAAATGAAAGCATATGCTCCATCGCCAATAGTTTGGAAAACTCTGCAATGGACATCAAAACGGAAACAAATATGTGTGCTATTTCATGTTCAAACCCTTGTTCTACTTCTTGTAGTAACAATCAAGACTCTTATACAGTTGTAAATAATACATCATGTGGAAATGGTTCTAACTGTAATAACTCTACCACTGTTGTAACTACATCTACTTTATCTTCATCAAGAGATAATGTCCAAGATGGTAAGTTAATTTTATTACATACGTGAACTTTCATTTCGTTATATGTATATATTCTTTTGATTCTTTTTGAGAGATACTGAGAACACTAAATTAAGTAGCTCTCTCAATAGCTTTACTTGAAACAATAACCAATTTAATGTTCTTAAACTTAGCAACTTTGCTCTACCTTCCAGACCCTCAATACCAAAGTTGGTTGCTCCGATTGAAAAAGCTTTTAAATTTTAATTTATTGTTCTCAGAACTTCTCAAAAAGATTTTATTAGACATTTTCTTACTAATATTGTTGATTTGAATTCCAGCTCTTCTACTCATAATCTTAGCAAAACTGCTGTTTCTTAATTGAAATTTCTGAAGTCTTACCCAGACGTAGTTTTTATTGAAGCTGAGGTGGTCAGATAGTAGTTTTAGACAAAGTTAAATGTCTTGAGGAATTTCAAACATTAACTGATGAAGGCACATATAAAGTATTCCCTAAAGATCCTATTGTTAATGAGTTGAATAAAATTAGATCTACAATCAAGAATGCTGTAATTATTCCTAATATTCTGAAATATTTTTTTACGCTTACTAATTCGCACTGGGCTAGGTTTTAAATTTTCTCTAAAGTATAGACTCTTAGACCCATAGACTTTAGACCCATTGTTTTGAAAATCATAACAATTTCAGAGATGCCAAGTCTCCCGATTTTGGCGGGAGACTCCCGATTTTTGATCGAACTCCCGCCACTACGATTTTAACCGTTTTTCTCCCGATTTTCCGTCTTNTTCAATTTTATCCTCACTTTCTAATGTGAATTATTTTATTGCAAAATACTTGAATTATTTTGTTAATGGGCTTGGTACATTCAACCTTAATGAAAACATAATGGTCTCTTTCAATTTAAAATCTTCGTTTACTAGCCTGCCGTTAATGGTATCCTTAATTTCTGAAAAAGAGATTACAAGAGTTCAACTTAAGCCAAGTAGAAATTGGCATATTAGTACACCTTACTCGCATTTGCTCAGAGCAGTTCATTCTTACTTTTAATAGTAAATTTCATTGAATGATTGATGTCTTAGCTATGGGTAATCCTGTCAGCCCCTTCTTAAGTGACCTGTATATGCACTATTTTCAAAGGAAATTCTTTGGTTTATTATTCTCTTTTTGCAGGCGAATATGTTGACAGTTGTTTTGACATTGATTATGTTCTTAATATTATGAATTCTTTAGAACCTTGCATTCAATTCATGTTTGAGCAGGAGAATAATAAATGTTTTTTTTGAAGTTTCACTCTTTCCTCATAATTTTCCTGTCTAACTAAAAGCTAGTTGCCTGACAAACACTTGTTTATCATGCTTCTAAAATTTGTTCTAATAGTTTAGTTATCTTCTTAATGAAGAGCTTCTTAATGAAGAGCTCATTAACCTTTAAGCTTTTACAATTAACCATGGATTTCCATCTAATATTATTAATTCCTTTCATAGATAGTTAATAGGGCAATCCAACAAACCCTTTAATTCAAACTTAAGCGATTTGATTATTTTACCCAATTATCTGAAAATCAGTCCCCAAATTGCTAAAATTTTAATTAAATAGAGATTTTTGGCAAAAACATTGTAGTGTTTGGCAACTCCACTAGACAGTGGGCTGCACTCATCTTTCAGGTTCAGCTAAAAAATAGAGATTTTGGCTGGCATGTGAGGTCAGTTGTTATCAATTATTTTTTTTTAATTATTATTTTTATGTCAATTTGTTTTGTTTCTTAATAAAGTGTGATTTGTCAGAACTCATTTTTATCCAAATAATTATCGAACCAAATTAACATCTTACAAACATTTAGTACTCAAACCAAACTTGATTTCTTGGACTCTCTCCAAATTTTGAAAAATTTTAATAATTTAGTTTGATCTTTTTAGTACCCTACCCTTTCCCAATATGTCTATGGAAATCTTTTCTAATTTAAGCTTTTGCCTCCTGGGGATCCTGTCCCAGTTTATCTCTTTACTTTACTAATGTCATTTAGTGTTTAGACACTTGGGAAGATTCTTGTCTAAAGAACCAAAACTATAGTATGTCCATTTTTGTATTTGATTTGTATTTTAGTCGTGTTTTTTCACTTTTGTCTATGTAACACTAAGTATACCTTATCCTTTTAACTATTATAATTACTCTATTATTTTTCTAGTTAGCTTACAACAACCTCTCAGTGATATACCTAGTGATAGTAGTTCTGTGACGAGTAATAAAGAAAATGCTCCGCCAACATCTGTGAATACTGGAAATGGTATATTTTGAATATATTATTTTAAATTGTCACAAATGAATTTTTTTTCTGTTCCTTAATCGCTTTTTTATAATTCAAAATATTAGTTTTGAATTTAATAATCATTAAATGAAGTAATTCAAATCAGTACTCTTGTGTCAATTAGTATTCATAAATTAAATACTACCTAATACTTGCCTAAAATTAAAAGGGGCGAAATTTTTTTTGGACTGAAACAATACAGAGCAAGTTATTCTTCTCTGCTTACTGTAGTATTTGCCAGATTCTAACATTTTCATAGTCTCATTTGTTAATATTTTTATAATAAATTTCTTACAAAGAATAACCATTTTACTGAATTAAAAGTAGAGATAAAAATTAAATTTAGATAGGGATTGGTTATAAATAAATTAAAAAAGTTAATGTTCAAAACTAAAAATTATTTTAACTAAAAGCATGTTTTTGCTTTCTTTTTTAAATCATTGAAACTCAATTTTTCATCGAAAAAGGACAAAACTTGTTAACAGTTTTTCTGAAATTTTCTGCACCTGTTAGTTTTCTGTCTGACAGAACTGTTGATCTCAGATTGGAAGCTCTAATTATGTTATTTATGGTGGTGCAAGATACCACTTTTTTGTCTTATATGAAAAGAGTTTGGAAAGTAATAATTACAGTAGTGATTCTGAAGATAGTTTAAAACAAAAAGTATAACCATTGGTTGGAAGAAGATACGCAGTGCCTGTGCCTTATCAATTCCCTCTCCTCAAACATTCCATTTGTTTTGATTCTGGTTTCGTTTATTTATTATTATTTTATTTTATTTTATTTTATTTATATATTTATTATTTTTTTTGTGGACATTTTCAGAACTGCAACTAAAAAGTTAGCTAAGACACCTGTAATAGAGAAAAAGATGCTATGTTAATTTTTTTTTATTGCAAACAATTGTTGACTATTAGCTACTACAAAAAAATAATATAATTCCAATTTTTTACTAATCACAGTATGAATAAAAATTGTTTTTTTTCTGCTGTACTCATACATGAGCAATTGGGGATGGGAAGTTCACTCCAAGCATAGTTTATAGCAAAAGATCTTAGTAGTTGTTGGAGTTAGTCTAGTAGCTGTTATTGTTTAGTAATCTTAGAAACTGTCAATTTTGACAAAACAGTTTCTAAGATTACTACAGTAGTGCATTAATGTAAAAAGTTTTGAATTTAGCATAATTAGAACGTATAGTTCAATTTGTATTGAATTATTTTCCATTTATGTAAATAGGGTGTTCAGTTCATACGGGCGTACTAAACCTATTGTTTTTTAAGAGGTAGCAAAATTTTAAGAATTGTTTTTAAGAATAAATAATGTATTTAGTGAAAATGATATTTAAAAATTGGCTATTTTAATAATTGCATCTAATATTTAATTTATCGAATATAACATCAAATAGCTTTCAAGTTTAAGTGTATTATTATTCTTGTATTTGCTGTAAGTCAGAAATTTTGCCTGACTGTTAATTTATATAACTGTCATTTAATTTAGAAAACGTGTTAGATCTCTTCTGTACCACAATCAAATTTAAAAAGATAGCTATTTTATTAATCCTAGCTATTTCTTATAACATTTAAAAGCTCGTTTTAAATTACTTTTCTATTTATTAACCCATACACACTTTCTTCACTGTGGTTGAAAATAAGCTTTTCTATTCTGTCATATGAACTCTATATCTCTTACTTCTCCTTACATACAGACCTAAATGAAAAAGAAAAGACTACAGGATTGGCACTTTTACTCGGATACACAAATCTCTGTTTTATTTATTTATACTACTTTTAAGATTTCCTCCAAGTACCTCTTACTAATCCCTCCCTACTAACATGCTTTAACTGTATCATTATTCTATCTTTTTCCATCCACAATATGACAGATAACATTCATGTTAAACTTATTTTATAATAATATAAAAATTTAAAAGAGAAGAAATAAGTCACATTTCTTGCATATTTAATTAATAAATAATAAAATTTGGTGTTGGTAAAGTACATAAATTTCACTAAAAATTGAAAGAACTGATTCAATATACTTTATTAAAGGATGCAAGAAAGAATATGTTGGATGCTAATGAAAAATGATTAACTTTAAGTTAACATTAAGAATGTCAAGAACAAGTTACAGATGCTAAAAAAAAAAATAATGCGTGTTTGGTTGAGCAGCAAATAACAAATATTATTAAAATACTGGTTAAATGTGTGTGATAGTGATTGTAGGAAATGATTAAAAGAATTATAAACACTTGACCAAAAAATTTGTGGGACTCTTGGGTGGAAAATAAATTTTCAAAAAAGATAATTAATGATGAAGTTATGTAATGCTGATTAGTTCTAGTATATTTAAATTTTTTGTTGACATATTATAATTAATAACTTTTAAATAAATTCTAAGTCAAGATTTAATTAATATTTTTCATTGGAAAATGTGACAACAGTTTATAAAATATTGTAACAGTGTTTATGTGTATTTGTAATGCATTGAGTTCATTATTTTTGTTTTTTATACATGTGCAATTATTACAATCAGACAATTGTTTACACAGCACAGCAAATATCATACCTTGCAATTTTTTATTCTTATATATTTCTTCATTATTTTTTAAAAATTTCTGAAAACATCTGTATAACATAATGTCTATGCATCTTTATGGAATTGAGCTTGAGGTTTCTGCATTTTGCATATTTAAAATTATAATATTTATATTTTATAAAGTGTAAGCGTCTAAAAAAATTGCTTGTATTATTTTATATCATTAAAGTATAAACGTTGTAGAACTTTGTTGGGAGGAGGGGAACTATTTTGACAACTATTTTTTGCCTCTGGCAACTATTTTGGAGATTATTTATATCTGCAACAACTAAAGTGACTATTTTTGGAGTCTAACACCAGTGGAAGCCCTGCAATTTGGATATACTAGCATATTTCAAATTACTTTCTGATGATTCAGTGGTTGACTAACAAAATAAAATATAGTGTACTCCGTTTTTTTAGAAACTGATGAACCTAAGAAGATATCAAAATATAAAAAGAAGTGTACATTTTTGTAATAATAAGACATTTGACCGACCCTAACCCAAAACTTAATAAAATTTTGCCTATTTATAAAGTAATAAATTTATATATACCAGAAAGATATTTAACAATTGATGAAAGCCTAATTCGTTGTAAAGGCTGATTCGGCTGGTTACAGTATATTCCACTTAAAAGATCAAGGTTTGAGAGAAAATTATTTTTATTGTGCAAATCCGAAAGTGGCTATCTTGTTTCATTTATTGTATACACAGGGAAAGGCACGGTAATAACTGACAAATATAAAGATATGTGTGTTACTTCCCAAATTGTTGTAATTCCTAGAATCACTTTTAGGGGAAGGCTATTTTCTCTCCATTATTGTACATCGCCACAAATGTAAGTTTTTTAGTAAGTAATAAAATAGACTAGGACTGTAAGGAAGAATAAAAAAGACATATCAAAATATACACAAAAGAATTGAAGGGGATAAAATAGAAAATCTTGAAAAGTTATGATTATGAAAATAAATGAAACAGTTATTTACCGAACTTAACACCAAGAATGGAAACTGCAAACAAACATATAAAGATGGTAAAGTTATATTTAAGCCAAAAGTGAAGGTAAGAAATAATGAGATGATGAGAGATGCTGATTGTCTAAATCAGCATTTACATTACTATCCCATATCAAGAAAAATACAGAAATATATTCTTTCATTTGCTAGACAGCTGCAGTTGGAACACATATGTTTGGTATAAAAGAAATGGAGGTGAAACAAATTAGATTTCAGAAGCAAACTAGTAGATAAACTTAGCTATATAGCTATCCTAGTGATACAAAATAGCATATAGTGCGGGGTAAATAAACTACCTACCTAGTGATACAAATATAAAAAATTTTAAAAAATGGTTAGACTTACTCATTTTTCAGTTTTTTTTCCAGCACCAAGAAGAAAAAAAGGCTCCCTTATGATTTTTTTGCTGTGTTGTGTTAAAAGGGATAGCAAAGGAAAATAATCACTATATGTGTAGTAATTGCAGTGCACTTTGTGCTACTCCTTGCTTTAAAATAAAAATTATACAAAAGAAAATTTTGACAATAAATACTACATTTATTATTTCTGTTGAAAAAGTATGAATATTTTTACTGTTTAAAATATTTATTTGTAGTCTTCTGTTTCAAATACAGTAGAAAGTCGTATGTCTGGAATCGGTGGGATTTCTGGAAGTCCGGATATTAGATTTTTCCGTATAATAGACCCCCAAGGTAAACAAAGCTTAAAACAATCTGAATATACGAAGCAAAAAATAAATAAACATTATTTTTCGGGCAATAATGTTTTAGTATTAGAATGAGATCTAATCGATCGAAAACAAAATATTAGAAAAAAATTATTATTGCTTAAAATATAGAAAACGAAAAAAAATTTGACAGTTATGAAAATATTAATTGCTCTCTCCGCCATTTTGAATTAGAATGATTCAAGCAAGATGGGGAAATTCGCATCATTCACTAAGGTGGGTAGGTGGAGGAGAAAATTCATTTCCTCCTTATTTGTCATTTAAGTTGAGGGCGGAGAAGTGACAAATTGTTATTTTCTCACCCATTATTGGTTATCAGTCAAGCATAAAGGAGTGGCATGCTGATTGGGTTCTCTTTATTTTTTCTTGTGTGACTGAAAGTGACTTCCCCTCCTGCTGTGAAGGGACTCAGTTGTGCTCTTTTGAAAACAAATTTCCCTGCATTCCTAAGGAGGAGCATCAATTCCGGTCACTCAACGATCTTGGGAAGTCTTCTCTGCTCATTTTTGTTTATTTATGGGTTCAATGCATAAATCACTAGAGGCTAGAAAGGGGAAAAACTTGTCCAAAGACCTCTTTTTTTCTTTCTTTTTTTTAAGAGAGGGGGAAATGAACAGATGTTTATTATGATTGTTAAAAAGTGTCCTGGAAATCGACTGTTCCGGAAAAGGGACGTCCCGATATGGGACGTTACTCTGTATTTAGCAGAAAAGTAAATATTTACTGTTTACAATATTTTATATATTTTTAAATATAATTTTATTTTTCGAAACAACTATTATTTGAAAAGAAAGTTAATAAAAGATTATTTGCGCGCAAGATTGCAATATTCGGCTTTTGTCTGCAGCGCGGTTCAAAATTGATGTAAAAATTTTGATTGATTTTGTATTTTATTTTTTGACGAAACAAAGTTCTAAAATGTGTTTGCTTAAAAAAAATTATTTTTATGCCGTTTTTTTTCTTCCTTTTTCCAAAAATGTGTGCATTAAGGGTTTAATAAAAGAGTCTTCAGCTCAATGCAGTGTTGCTTTCACCCACAGTAAACCATCCAAACATAAGTGGTAATACATTAATTGCCATACATCAAACAATTGTCTGAGAAAATATCCAAAACTAAAATCAAGCATAAGTCTTGAGTTTTTCAACAGTTAGTCTTATAAATTTAACTAAATGAAGCTCAAATACTTTTCAATTCATTTGAAATTAAATAACCCCCTTTTAAAGCAATTTGGTCATTGTCTTTGAGCTTTTGTTTTTGAAATTTTGACTGATTCTGGTTTAATCCGCACTCTAATCTAATGAGCAAATTACCTTGATCGGTTCATTTTTATTATAAGTTAGTTCGACTGTATTTAAAACTTCCTTGTTACTTCTGATAAATATATGTTTTGCAGTCACTGATGTTTTTAATTTTTAATATTCATATTAAAGTTGGCAGTCTATTTATTATTGTAATTTAAGGCATAAAAAATATGACTAACATGCCAGAAAATATAGTAATTCTACATTTATAAATTATAAATTGAAAGTCGATCTGAAATGTTTACTTTAAATAGCTTTCGTTTTGCACTAAAACATTTTGTAAAGTTCGGTAATGAGAGAAAATGAAACAACCTGGAATCAGGTGATATTGAAATCTTATACTATAATGGACTTTTCTTAACTGGCGATAGAATAAATCTGTATGTGCATTTTTTACCCCAACTTTTTTAATGGCATTACTGTAATCTTTTTGGTATTTATAATTTTTTCTTTCTTTCGAATGTTCTTTTTTGAATGTTTTTTTTTCCTTTAAGAAATCCCTCCTATGTCAGCCATATCCAACATGGTAGGCTCTACAACTACACCAGCAACCACAGCTTCCGTCCAACCATTACCCAGCAATATGGTTAATAAAACATCATTTCAAATGGAAACTCAATACATGCAACAACAGAGTCAAATTTTTGTGTTTTCAACTGCTCTAGCAAACAAAGCTGCTGAATCATATTTATCCGGACAATTTCCATCTATGATTGCTTTCCATTGTGCCCAACCTGGAACCAAATCTTTCCTTGAAGTAAGATTTCTATATGCACAATCTTTAATTGTATCACAGGCTCCCTATTTTTTATTTTATTTTCGTTGTGGTCAAATCTGCTTCTAATCCAAGAATTTATTTTTTTACTACACTTATTAAATATTCATTATTATATGAAGTGTAACAGAAAGTTACGAAGTTTAAAATGTGTAAAACCAGTAGATCAACAACTGATTAACAGGAAAAAAAATTCTAGCATTTTAAACTTTTACAAAATGTACAAGTATAAAAAAAATCCTCATTATATTATAATTATTTGTTATTCGATAAATTTTTATGTGTCAAGTATAAAAATAAAAATTGAGTCTGGACAAAGGAACAATTTTGCTTCCTTTATCTTTTTAGTATTTAGAGAGTAGCATATGATTATAATGGGAGCATGTGACTAATAATGGGAGTTAACAAAATAGCACTAATAAAAAAAAGAATTTCATATAAAATAGCTTACAAAAATAATTACACAAATGAGGGAGGAATGTAGACATTTTAATGTCCATAGTTGAGTATTTAATGTGTGAAACATTCAAGGTATAATGACAAAAAATTGATTTCATAATATCTTAGATGTTTTAATGACCTGTCCTAACATGGTCAACCTAAGTTTGGTTCTCGACTTGTTGGGACATCTGATCGATATTATCTAATTAGTTAGTTTTGACTACCATTAATGTTTTCTCCAAATTATTAAAACTCTCTCCGTTCTGCAAAATTTTTTAAGCCCCTTAATTTAAATAGCTGTTTTGTAATTGATCGATAAATATATCTTTACTTAGTATTTTAATTTTACTTTTTTTATATGAGTTTTTCAATTTCATAGTATGTTTCATCAGTATTTTTTTTATAGATATTTTATCTTCAGTAGCAATATTTTCTAGATATTTTATTAAGTTTAAATATAGTTATTAACAAAATTGAATGAATTAGAAGGGAAAAAAAATTTAAAATTATATAAAAGATAAATTATAAGTTCTTCTCTATAGTTATTGGTAAACAGCAACTAATAATAGCAAATTATTTGAATGGCAAGTTTTATTCAGGTTTTAAGAATTGTGTGAAGAGTATTGCAGTAATTATTTATATTGTTTTGCTTTTTGTTTAAACTGTAAGTCTGNATAAATTTCAACAAAATATAGCTAGAGAGTAGCATTTGATTATAATGGGAGCATGTGACTAATAATGGGAGTTAACAAAATAGTACTAATAAAAAAAAGAAATTCATATAAAATAGCTTACGAAAATAATTACACAAATGAGGGAGGAATATAGACATTTTAATGTCCATAGTTGAATAGTAAGCCCCTTAATTTTGAGTGCTTTGTAATTGATTGATAAATATATCTTTACTTAGTATTTTAATTTTACTTTTTTTATACGAGTTTTTCAATTTCATAGTATGTTTCATCAGTATTTTTTTTTATAGATATTTTATCTTCAGTAGCAATATTTTCTAGATATTTTATTAAGCTTAAATATAGTTATTAACAAAATTGAATGAATTAGAAGGGAAAAAAAAATTTAAAATTATATAAAAGATAAATTATAAGTTCTTCTCTATAGTTATTGGTAAACAGCAACTAATAATAGCGAATTTTTTGAATGGCACGTTTTATTCAGGTTTTAAGAATTGTGTGAAGAGTATTGCAGTAATTATTTATATTGGTTTGCTTTTTGTTTAAACTGTAAGTCTGCAAAATATTGTCTCTACATCACAAAATATTGTCTGTGTCTCTTCATTGCACTTTTAAATCCTTACCCTTTCAATCCTCAAATATTTAGATTTATACTCATTTACTAAATTGAGACTTGATTATGACAGCATCCCAATACAATAATTGCATCATATTGAAATCATAAATCTTTAACTTTCATTTTACATAGAAATTCTTCTTGTTAAATTTTAGCTAAATTCCAAAGAACTAACCTTCAAAAAGTATGAGTGACAGTTCTTAGATTTAAAACATAAGCTGTAATTAAATCTAATTTCTTTCTATGGGATTGCATAACTAATCATTTTTTAAAGTATTTTTCTTGTATTTCTTTTCAAACAAAGTATCACAAATATTTCTATTACTAGTTTTAAATTATTTTTTATGATTCTAAAAGGCAAATAAGTGTAGTTTTAGCTCCATTGTGTTTGTTAATTGTTATTTGTCATATTTTTTAAATTTTGATTTGAAATATACTTATGGATTAATAATTTTTTTGTTCATTTCAGAAATATCCTCTAAAAGTTCAGCAATTCAATCGTCAAAATCCTGCTGCTTGGCTAAATACACTTGCACAAATGAAACAATCGGGTCGCCAAATAAAAAATCCAAATAATCAGTTTCCTGGTCCACACACCATAAACAATCGTTTTCCCGGTCCATCCAGTGGCTCAATGTTAAATCCCTGTTCAGGCTCTTGTAATATGCATATGCCTGGTATGTGTTCTGTGCCTAGAGGTTCATCACCTTGGTCGTCAAACTGCAGTAACACTAATATGATTCCTTCCTTGCCAAATGAAATATGTGGTCAACCGTGGCCAAATCAACAATTCAATCCTGGCACATCTCCCTCTTCTGTGAACCATAGGTTTCCTGGGCCTTCTGCTCAAGGAATGAATGTGCGATCTGTTGGCCCTTCAGGAAGTCCATTGCTTGGATGCATGAGTAATATGAATTCCAATGTAACTCCTTTTCAAAACTCTGGTCTTAATTCAATGCCATTGAATCAAGGTTCAATTGGGCCAACTACACTCACAGGTAGGTTGTTTTGCTGGGAATATTTCTTTTTCTTCTGAATTAGATAGACCCTAAAAATTTTGTGTTTATTGTTATAACTTAAACTGCAAAGCTAGTGCTTTATTCTAAATTTATTAATCATAATTTTGTGCAAATATCCAGCATACTCTAAAAATTGTTAGGGTGGCAGATGGCAGCAATTTTGTAATTAGTGCAGACAAATTTTTTTTCCCAATGTGGTTGATAGTATTTGCAGTTTTGTGTGAGGGAATAAAATTATGACAAATATGTTAGTTATCCACGTAGCGTTTTTAGAAAGTGCTTAAAGATGCTTATCTTTGATTTTTGTTTTTTAAAAACCCTTAAAGGTGCTTTGTTTCATTGGGTGTTTTTAAAAAGTGCTTAATTTTCCCCTTTTTCAAAATGAGATTTTCACAATTAATTCAACCCCAATCTATTTCAGCATATTGTCAGTTCGTAGCGTATGAAAATGCCATTCGTTTTACATGATTAAAAATTTCATGATTTTTGACAATTGTCAAAAACAATGCCAAAAGGTTTTTTTTAAAGTGCTTAAAAATATTTTTTGAGTGCTTGAAAAATGCTTAAAAGATGCTTATTTTTTGTTGAATAATTTGGCTATGCACCCTGTTATCCATTTGCAGCCTAGAATAGAGATAGAGTAAACATTCCTTCTTCCTAGGAAGACTTGAAATCAAATCACTAATATCACAGGATACTTGAAGTTTTCTTTCCATTTAAGCATAAGGAAGAACATGATGCAATTCTCATTTCATAATAACATACGTGCTAAGTCTCCTGTTTTTTAACGGAGACTCCTGTGTTTTACAGCTATTAAACGTTTATCCTTATGCTCTCAAATTTCACTGTATTTTTTAAAAAAAATTTTTTTCGCTATAAATATCTGCTAATAGCAAAAATACTTCGTTTAATCCTCAATAAATTATTCTATAGCCGGTTCAGCATTTCTTGCTGCCGACAAATTCAGACAGGATGTAGTGAGACTCCTGTTGTAAATTGTTTTTTATTGGACAACAACTGCTTCATTTACTTACAAGAACCACACTAACTTCGTTTGCATTGTATTCTTACCAATCGTTGAAGCTAAAGTGTATTGCTGCTTTCAGAATCATGTCATGAAGTTAAAAGGAGAAAAAAAATTTCTTCAAACGTGTAAACCCGAATATTTTATTGTATAATTCCTCTGCTTAAAGAAATCTCAACAATGGTTAAACCTAGTGTTTTGCAAACTATGTTGTGATTTTAACTTCACACAAATACATACAGCAGCATTTAGCAATGGAGATACATCTGAATTTGTTTGCTGCTTCTGAAAAATAAAAATAAAATAACTTTTTGGCAATTATAAAGAGGATGCTGTAATTTGAGCTGAATGCCTTTTTACCTGTTTTATCATAGAACAAAATTTTCCTATGAACTGTGCTAATCATGTTGAAGGTATTTTAAGGAAAACGTTCCTGAGAAATTAAATCGCCAAAATGTATAACAGTGCACAAAGGAAATAAAGTACTATTGTATCTGAGTGTGCTGCTACTAGCCAAAAGCTTGTAGATTCCTTAAAAGTACATTTTGCTTTGCTACAGCTGATACAAAGGGTACTAACAGTAAAATATATTGAGTGGTTGTTGCTATCTTTGACATAAATTTCAACAAAATATAGCCAACATTATTAGCAGTGCCTACTTTTATTAGAGATTGCATTGTCCAAAGTATTGGCAATATGGTAATTTATAAGTTAGAAGAATGAGGAATTCCCCGTATAAACTTTGAGGCAGATAATGTTGGAGTTGTGTTATGCAAAATAAATATAGAATAGCTGCTGTGCTAAAGCAAAAAATGAGCAACTTATTGTAATTGGATGCTTTTGCCATTTGTTAAATTTATTTGTGGATAAAGAGCTGCTTGCTTGCCACTAAACATAGACAAATTATTTGTAGATATTTATTACTATATTGACAAAATCTCTAAAAAGGAAAGAAAAAATGGGAATGATTGTAAACTATTATAATTGTGAAATTCAGAAAATATTAAAACATGTTGCAACTAGTTGACTGTTCACAATTATCTTGTATATCATTATGGATACCTTTTATTAAATTTTTTAAATCTGAAATTGGAAAAGAAAATTCCAAGTCAAATAACTTACATTTATATACAATTCCAAAAGGAAAAGAAAATGATGTAACAGATGCAGGTAAGACTGTCAAAATAAGGTCAAGGATCCTAAAAAGCGACACATTAGTTGTGCGAATGATTTTGTCAATAAGGTAAAAAAACAAAGTAAAGTATCTACTAATGATAACAAAAATTCTTATCAAGGCCAGAAAGACTTTATTTACTTTCATCAACAAGATATCTACAAGATTTATTGTTTATTCATTTTGCATATCAATTCAATTTTAATAAAATAATACAACTCTTCAGTCACAAGTTCTCCATGTCCACTTATTAAGAACAATGTTTATGGAATTCTTTTAGGAAATTTTGAGTAAATTTGTTAAAGCCATAGTCATCAAATTAAGTTGTGATATTTTAATAGTGGCTTGTCACTGTTCAGAAAACCTGTGGGAAAATGATGATTTACTTATAGGAGAGAGAGCAAAAAATTTTAATGAATTAACAGGGGAAGAAACACATTTTTGTTTTTCATGGTAAGACAGTTTATGTATAGAGATTACATGTTACACAAGCTCCTTTTAAGGAACAAAGTTTTAATACATGCTGACGTATGAAATTTTAATAATATTAAAAATTCTGCCCTTTCTTCAGTAGTTTACTTTCTAGTTTACTTTCTTGATAAATTTCCTGTTTTATTGAAAAGTAGAAACGTAGATGAAGAAATGGACATCTGAATTTACAACACTTGAAGTAACGGAAATCTCAGAAAATATATGAATAGTAGAGAGAATGAATTCGTTGTAGGTGTCAGTTGTGGCAACTAGAAAAAGAATTGTATAATAATAGTTACAAAATATTGCCAATGTCATGTTATGGATCATATGCATTCTGCGTAGCAATGCAGAGTGAGAAATTTTTCTTAAAGTAAAAAACAATTATCAGTGAATATATTACTCATGATTTCTAATGAAAAGCTTGCTTTTTATGAAAAGTAATTTCCCCAGTAACTTTATTGAATAGAACATAGATCAAAATTTCTAATGCAAAGCCAAATCAGCTAGCTACTTACGTTTAAAACATGAGCATGTAAACATTCTGAAAGTAAAACTAATAACTTAGAATTATGAAAATAATTTTGATGTTGAGGGTAATATAATAAGGGTTTATTAGTATAAGTAATTATGATTAATGGTTTAAAATACACATATTTTTCACTGTTTTATAGGTAAGTACTTACATTATTTTGAATGTCTAATTTTAGTAAAATTCTTTTGCACGATATGTCAAAACTGTACACATAGCCCAAAAAATGTTACTAATAAAATCTATGTTATTGTATTTCTCCCATGTTGTAAAAAAATAAAAATACTTAGATTTTATTTTATCTTGATTTACAACGAGACAGCAGTCAAAAGTTTTGGCAAAATTAAATTTCTTAATTACAAATTAAAAGTAATCCAGTCAATTAATTGATTTTGTCTTTCTTAAGTGTATAAGTAAGCAGTTTTTTAAGAGTAGATAAACCCCTATTAGGAATTTCTCTTGTTTTCCCATGTCATAATTAATCCATGAAATTTCAGCTTTTTTAAGAATCACATGTATATAAACCCTTGTAAAAACCTGTAGGCCTGTAGTGGAAGACTTAACTAAACTCAGAGGCGCGACTAAGTAAGTCAGTGGAAGACTACCTGGTAAATTAGATACATTGCTTTTTTTATTTTTGTTGACCCAAATTACTTGCTGTTGAGAAAGGACTAGATCAGATCTTGGAGAAGTATAATTTAATGGAATGCTCTGCTTTGTAATGGGACTCATAGTTGAAAGATATTGAGGTGTTTGATACTTACTAAAGAAACAAACTTTCTTCTCATGCTGTTTAATTCAGGGGGCTTGAGTAAATCCTTTTTTTAATAAATAAAAAAAAGCCCAGCCTACTTAGGTTTTAAGTCCATGTTATAGCTACATTGTTCATTTTTTAATGAGATTAGAGAAAAATACACACATCTAATGTAAAAGTGTAATGTTTAAAAACTACAGAGTTCTCCCTGGGAATAAAAAAAGAGCAGGGCACTCCCTCGCAGAAAAGGGTACATAGAATTTTGAAAGGACGTAACTTAACACTGAAAGAAAATTATCAAATTGTGTAATATTATGTAATCACTGAATTTGATCCTCAGTAGTTTTTAAATTACCCTCTTATACTATTTTGTGTATATATTTCAAAAGGAAATGATCAAAACAAGAGAAAAATTTGTAGTTAATAAAAAATAATAAGAGGCCTATTGAAAAACTATCTCTGGGCATAATTTTTTTTTTTTAAAAAAAAGAAGTAAACTAAAGCAAATAATTGATAAAAAAACTTAATAGCTTTTATCTAGAATTTAAACTGAAAAAAAATGAGCATTTAAAAGTGCATATTTTTTTTAAAAAAAAAAATGCATTTAAAAAAATTTATTTTAAAATCACTTATCCATTAATATACTCCCACCCCTGAAAAAAAAAGAAACTTGTTTAAAAAAAAAATTTTTTTTGTTGAAATTTCCAATGCCTACATGTATCAACATTTCGTGAATTCAGGCATTTACTGGGCAGATTTGTTGGCCACTCTTTCAGGGGCACCAAATTGGGTGGGCCAACATTGCTCCCACAGTAAGGACAGATAGTACAGAAAACTGAACAAAATCTACACCTTGCCCGAGATTCGAACCGTTCTGATGCAAGGCTAGTTCCATAACCTGTTCCCTACGCAGTCCGGTCAGCACTAATTAAAATTTAAACAGTTGAGAATTATCCTAACAAAATAAATATTTCTAATAGTAATCAGAATTAAGCCTATAAAGACAGATAATTTTACGTGTGTAATTATTTAAGCAGTGAGTTATTTAATTTTTAAAGTGGAAAAGGGGTTAAAAAGCAGGTTTTTAAGGAGTTGCAGCTTATTCTTACAAAGAGGGCGCATTTATAGAAATCGAAGGGCACATAGCACGAGCCGCCCTTCTGAGAACGCTTAGGGAGAACACTGGTAACTATTTATCACTTAATTTGTTGTAATGCAACTATTTTTTAGAGGAAGATTAGATTTTAATTTTTAATCATAGCCATCAAAAAATAAAAATTATTCAATTAAACGATCCTAAAAATTTTTCTTGTATTAACACAGATTTAGTTTGATAATCAGATATTTACTGCAATATACAAATGATGGACATATGTGTTTTTTTAAATATTGTTTGAGCTTCAATAAATAAACAAATTTTACGTGCCAAAGTATTTTAAGTTAAGCTGTCATTTATACATATTTTTAGGGGTTAAAGTTCCTGATGAAAATTTAACACCTCAACAACGGCAGCACAGAGAAGAACAGCTTGCCATGATTCGAAAAATGCAACAACTTCTATTTCCAGAACAGCAGCAGATGGATCAATGTCAAAGTGGAATACCTCATAATATTGGATCTATGATGAGTGGTATGCAACATAATTCTCAAGCAAGATTTGGACCCGGTGATATGTGCGTCCACTCTGGTATGGATATGTGCTTTAGCCCTCATCAGCAGTGCATAGGAGAACATGAGCATCATCATCCTGATATGTATATGGGATCCCCTATGATGGGGCCAGGCTTTCCGCAGCAAAATTTTCCTGGTGGCTCTGCATCTGCTCAGTTAGAGTGGCAAAAATTGCAACATCAGTTTTACGAAGAAAGGCGGAAAAAACAAGGATGTAATAATGCACCTTTAACAAATTCACCTGTTGGTTCACAACCTCAACAAAGTGCAATGCAACCAGTGCAACCAACTCAATCCCAACAGTCTATGTCACAGCCTCCAACTCCACAGCAACAAAACTTAAATAGTCCTAGTCCAAGTTTGGGGCTTAGTCCTGGCACTAGAATGCAAGGCCCACCCCCTCCTTATCATCAAACAAATCGAAGAACTATGCCAAGTCCCCATCCTGCTTCTCCCACTCCTAGTTCATTATCATTACCATCACCCCGCATGGCATCAGGTTTACCTTCTCCAGCTGATTCATCTAGACAATTTCCTCTTCCAACTCCCCCAGGACCAAGATTACCTCACCCTAGTCCTGGGTCAACTACTCCAGTAGGAAGCAATAGCTTACATACTACCCCTCTGAACTCACCTAAACCGATAAGCTCATCTGGTCCTGGTTCTAATAATGCAACTCTCACTAGAACTCCAACCACACCTTCTAATACTGTTCCAACTCCAGCTAGTACACCAACTAGTTCATGTGCTCCTGCACTGCCAAGTTCAGAACCAAGTACTCCTGTTGGATCATGTGGTTCCAATCTCAAACAAAGTCAATCTTGTAATAGTGATATTCAGGATTCTAATTCAGTTGGATCAACTACCAATATGAATTCTGATTTTACATCAAACACTTGTCCTATTTCAACTAATTCAGGTAAATTTGCATTCCATTCCATATTTTATTAAATTCTTCCTTGAAAAGTGCATGTGAAATGAATAATGAAAATCTCCGAAGACACTCAAATTATTGAAATATTTAAACTTAAATAAATAAATAAAAAAAAATTTTTAATTTGTATTTTTATTTTAAAATCATCTTTATAGAAAATTAAAACAAAAAGCAAAATTTACTTTAGCCTGCATAAAACACACTTGGAAAAAAAACCTTGAACAATTTTATAAAAGATAGTTTTAGTTAGTCTAACATTGATTGATAAGTATTTGAAACAGTAAAGTTTCTTTTCATACTACTAATCTTTATATTTTAGTTTAACAATGAATAACAAATTATATTTTCTGTCCAGATGAGTACTTTTCAGTTTATGGGTGAATGTTGTTACTCATACTTTCTGTTGAATATGTCTAATATTATTATAGTTAAAATCCTGGAATCTAGAAGTGTCTTTCTAACATTTTTAGCATATAGAATGACAAATGATTTTGTGACAAAATAATTTGATATTTGCACAAATATTTAGTCAGAATTTTATATTTAAAACATGGCAAATGAAGTTATTTTTTAGTGATTCCATTTTCCTTTATAAAATTTATGATTTGCAGCCTTTTGAAATGCATAAAACTAAGAAATATCTTATGAATAGTTAAGTTAGGTATGAATTTAATTCTTACCTTATTAAACTTTCTTGGAATAAAATGTCATTCTGTTCATAAACACATGATAAGCACCGTTTACCCCAGAAGTTTCCTATTTTGCTTCCGTTTTCAAGTGGTTTATTATTTACCCTAGGTTTGCCATCCATATAAATAATGACTCATGAATATTACTGAACACTTTAGTGGTAACATTTCAAAAGTACATGTGTCAAAACTGAGTTTAAGAAATTATGCAAAATTTCGAGTTTTTTTTTATTTTTTTAAAGGGTAGATAACATTTATAATTAATGAATAACTAATGGTAAAATTATTTATTTGCAGTCAATGTTAGTTACTGAATGTCATAAAGATTAAATTGGAAAACTCAGTCATTTGGAATTTTTGTTGATCTGCACATCAGATTCCTAAGCATGTAAATGGAATGTTTCTGTGTTTAAAATGTTGTGATAAAATGATTCCATCATATGCATTTAATATAATTGATATTGAGTTGTATTTTTCTCTTAAATATTTACACTATATGAACTCTTTGCAGGTGAACTGTTTTGTCATAATACACAGTCTTGTAGTCAGCCCTCCCAGAAACATGATAATTGCTCTGGTAATCTTTGTCAGAAAGAGCCCAGCTTAATGCCTGTTCCTTCACCTCAACAAATTCAATACCTAAATGCTTTTGATGGGCAAGAACTAACAATTCAGAAACAGCCTAATACAAGCATAAGAGAATTGGACATAATGTCTCCTGCTAGGTTTGTTGAATTTTTCATTTTTATAGTGAATTTATTGTAAACATTGACTAAACTTTTTTTAAGAAAAGCATTTGTATTTGAGCTACTAAAAATTATTTTCTACGACTGTAATTTTCAGCTGATTACCTGTTTAAAAAAAAGTGATCAATCCAATTATAGGCTGTTGCAGACAGAGCTGTGACATTTTCCACTAGTTACAGAAATTCATCAGGTCTATTTTTTCGAATTGATGGTACTGTGCAGGGTTGCAAAAACACGTTTTTTTTTCTTGATTTTATTGGACTTTTCTGAGTTTTTCATGTTTTATTGGGGGTTTTTTTTCAATAGAGAGGGCCAAGTATAAGTACCTTATTTTAATATTAATAAAGTTTAATTTTATGAATTGACTTAACATATAGGTAATAAAAGTAATTAATAATTAATACAGATAAATTGGTGCAAAAGTCTGAAAAAAGTTTCTTCTGACATCACAATACAATATGTTATATGTACTCACATACATTACGCATTTGAATTTTATTTTAACACAGGATTACTTTTTATTTATTTTTTAATCTTAAAAAATATTTGAGAAAATTTTTTTTCTTGCATGGAAAGCGAATCAAAGGCACTGACTAATCAATGGCCATGCAGTCAAATCTAGCCAGCAAGGGTGACTCTCCAGTCTCCAAACACAGTTACTTTTTTCACCATAGGTTCATTTTTTTAGGCTAGACTGCATATATATTTCAATAGAATAGCTCTTTAATATAACAGAGGATAAAAAGAAATCAATTTTAGAAAAACCCACTTTAGGGTGAGTTTTACTGGGTTTTTCAGAGTGGGTTTCTCCCAGTTAAACCCGCTTGGGTTTTACTGCGTGGGTGAGTTTTTTGCAACCCTACTGTTGTGATTTAATTTATGTTTAGTTGGATTGAAATGTAGTAGTATGGCAACAAATTAAATAGCAAGCAAATTAAAACTCCTCAAAAATCGGTAGCACCATGATAGGCTACTTGTGTAATTGGTTATTCCTTTTTCTTCAGCTAAAAGACTAGCTTCAAGTCTGATCCTTACAGTTGAAATCGGTATTCCCTTCTCTCTTTCAAAGAGGATCCAGCAATTTATTTCAGATTCCAAATTTGGCAGCGCAGTTAGGCCTTTTCTCAGAACGTCTTCGCTTATGTGCATGTAAAAACTTATCTTAAGATTTTCTCCCAAGACTAATATTAGATTCATCTATGTTAAAATATCTTCCAGCCGCCCGGTTTTCTTCCACTTTTTTGATGACTTTAAGTTTAAATATTGAAGTGTAATAACCCTTTTTTTACGGACACTTTGATCAATGCACAGAAATTTCGGTTCAACAAACTGCAGCAGAAACGAAATTGAAAAGCAAACTTTGAATGAATTGGGAAAATTCCTAAATTCCATACTTTTTATTGCTTAACTATAAGACCACAAGTGTGATAATTTGCACCTCTGTGCAAAAGAAAAAGAATTACCAATATAGACGATAAGGAGCAGGATAAAAGCCTATCTATTAACAGAAAAAAAAAAGTGAATAATATGCCAGTGTAGGTTGTAAGTGATAGTTTTTCATTCAGAATAAAATTTCTGCAAAACTTTAAAAATTATGTTCATGAAAAACCTAATGTCTTGTTATCTATTTTATTCTATTATATTGTATTTGTTATCTATTCTATTGTATTTGTATTGATTTTGTGTTGGTATTTTTGTGAAACTAGAGCAGTGTTGATGCTAAGCTTCTTGGGGCTTTCTTTGAACCTCAAAAATTTTAAAAATATCCCAAACCTTATTTTCTATCAATTTTTGTAACGGAACTAATATAATCGTGTTTCATACTATGTTTATATAATCTTGATGTGATTAAGTCATAGCTATTATTGTAGTATCTAATTTAGTCTAATATGATTTATTATCTATGTATGTATATATATTTTTTCATTATAGTATTCCTCCTTCTATGGTGATGAGTACTGGCTCCCATTCCCAATTCCAAAGTCCAGATGCTGCCTCTTTTCCTAACACTCCTGGAAGTTGTCCTTCAGTTTTAGAAAATAGTCAGGACAGTATGACAGCTCGGTTTCCTGTCTCTGCACCTGCAAGCATAGAAAGTAATATCACTCGTTTTACTGCTCCAAGTCCTCAGATGCCTGGTTTTGATTCTGGATCTAGGCACATTCTGCCATCATTGCAGACTAGTGATGGTTCACCTGCAAGATTTCCTGGTTTGCCTAATGTTGATATGATAAGAATGCCTGGAGCAGGTCCCATTAATCATAATTCCTTGGATGAGGCTGTTTCTAGGTTTACTGGCCCAACTTCACAGGGACATATGTTTGGAACTGGGCCAACTAGTAATATAAATAACATACCTCGCTTTCCCGGTAGTGCTTCTGAAGCCATGCAAAGATTTCGTGGTCCTAGTACACAAGGAAATATAGACATTTCTCATTCACGTTTCATGGGATTAAGTCCTCATATACCTTGTTTGGATAGTATGCCTCAGCCTTCCCAGTTTACTAACATGGGTTCAGATAGTGTACCTCCAATTCCATCTCAGCCGTTCCCTAACTCTGGACAACCTTTATCATCCCGCAGCAGTCCTTGTATGGGTAATAGTTTTCTCATGGATGGCAATATGTCTCATTCTCACTTGCAAAATTTGCAAAAAATGACTCCTCCTTTTGATAGTCTTTCTGGAAACAAAATTCCTCCTGATGTTTTATCTCCTATGGGACAGTGCTCTAATTCTTCTGTGAATGGCTCTAATAATATGAGCATGCCCCCATATGGTGGGTCCAGTCCAATAACTCCATCTTCTCAAGTAGGCTCTTCTCAAAGACTTTCACATTTTGACCCCATTGCATCTATGGCAGCTATGAGTGAATCAACTGCCCCTTTAGTAACTGCTGGAGGAAATGCTCAAGCACATCAAAATATTGTTGCATCAAACATTAATATGCCTGGCATGCAGGGTTCTGTAAATAGTACGGCTAATAGCCAACCAAACCTAACAAACTTTACAAATATGTCAACAATGCAAGGTGCTATACCAAGTACAATTGCATGCTCAATGCCAAACCAATATAGTGTACATAATCAAATGGCATCAAATATGCCATGTGGACCACAAAATACTTATGCCAATTCTACAATGACAATGCAACAGTTAGCTGCACCTAACACAACAACAGCCTATAATGTTAACACTCAAGGTCCTAATATGACTCCTCATACTATGCATCATAGCTGTCAAGGCAATGGTGCAAATACTATAAGTTGCTCTGTGACTACTAACCACCCCATAATGCACACAGCAGCTACTACTCGAACTTCAAACTCTAATATGTCAATTCCTGGACCAAGGCATGGAGCACCAAGTTTTTCTTCACAAATTATGACTCAAAGACCTGTTACTCCTACTGGTGCTGGTAGTCCTACAATGATAAGAGGTGCTCCATTCAATAGTGCAAATATTCAAGTGAAAGCTAATGCTCCTAATACAATACAATACTTACCAGCTCGCCAACAAAATGCCTCCTCTATGCCTAACCGAGCACCAACATTAGAATTTCTGCAGCGATATGCAACTCCATTAACTAATCTTGATAATAAAGTTCCAACGCACAATCTTCAATACTTTCCTAGTAATGGAAGCTCTAATCAACCTATGATGCATGGTGGTGTAGGTATGAATTCAGGAAATGTTGTGACTGGTATGACAAACAATCAAAGGCCTGTAAACATGATGATGGGACCTTTAATGAGAGGACCTAGTCCTAATCCTTCTCATCCATCTGGTCAGATTTTTCCTGTCGGTGGTGTTCTTCCAGGTGCTGATTCACCTATGTTTGGTCGTCCTCCTTGCCCGTCCGTAAACAATTCAATGATGCCAATGAATGCTATGAGTGGTGGTCAAGGGCCTGCTATGTTTCCCAATAAACAAATACCATTGCCCATGGGAGGTATGGCCCCTGATGCAACACAACCATTACCTCCTTCCATGGGTCAATCATTCAATTATAAACAATCACCATTTTATGGTCCAACAACAGCTGATCCAAATTATGCTGTTCAGTTTCATAACTTCCAACAACAATTGTATGCTACAAATACAAGAGGCAGTCAAATGAATTCACAAAATAGCATTAGTGGACAAGGTTTTTTTGGGCCTAAATAAATAATTCACTGTTGGTGCCGTTTCCTCTCATATGATCAGAGTTGTTTGTGTAATGGACAGCCTCTATTTTATGTTCCTACCATTCGGACTAATATCTCTCTTTGTTATGAACATAATAGTCACTCATCTGTAAGCATGTAAATAGTATCACAAATACATTATATAGGAGAAGCGTTGTACAGTTTGTTTATTGTTTGTGTATAAATATCTACTTTGCCAAGTATGTGTATATGCTCACAAGTTCTATTGTTACTTTTCAAATTTGTTTCTATTGACTTAGTGTGCAGTATTAATATGCTCAATGTACTTGATTAGAGTTAATTACTCTACAGGTCAAAAGTTAACATAGTGCACACAAAGTTTCAATAGAAACAATGGAAGTTGCAATTAATTGCAGCTGCTCTCTACACTTCTCAGTTGCATATTATTCTGGAATCCAAAGTTATTGGTGCCATCAATAATAAGTTTCTGGTTGAGAGGACTAACTGTATTGTTTTATTTCAGACAATCCAAGACCAAGATACTTACTTCATTTTGTGCCATTGTGACTCTGAGTCGCACTTTAAACATTTTTATTATGTAAATATACCTTTGTTAATTTTGTTCTGTGATGACATTGTGTTTTGTACATTATTTCCTTGTTACATTTTTACTTGGGCGTTGGACTGTTGTTAGACCAGTCAGTAGTCCTTAATAATATTTTTATTTTTTTACTACCTCATGGCAAGACAGCTTCACATCTAGTGATATTTTTAGTTCAACCCTATTTATTTATATAATATTGGTTGCTACTTAAAAAGTTCATTTAATTTATTTAAATATAAATATGAATTCAACTTTAAATTATTAATCTAGTTTACTTAACAATAGGCGACTTAATTTTATTCTTTCCATGCTCTCAGTTTTAATCTTAAATACCAAAGATTATTGTTGGTGTTGCATTATTTTATATGTAGTATATATTTTATATGTAGTTTTAAAAGCATTTATTCATATTTAAGAATTGTTTCTCAATCATTCACATCCTACTTTTGTATACTGTATAACGAGGTCATCACTAATAAATTTATTATAGTTTAAAACTTAAGTTATAAATTGAATTTCTAAAATAGAAAGTTACTCTAAATCTTATTTTGTAAAAACATGACAGTCTTGTAATGCATACTACAATGCAAGTTCATGTAAAAGTTTTAATTTTATAAATTATTGTAATTCATTTAGCTCTGTTGAGAAAGATACTTAAGGTATTACTTTTGAAACTGAAATGAATAATTCTATTTTAATTGTCTTCTTCAAAATATTTTGAGTAATTATTCTCACTTGACTTTGCATGCGTATCTAACTCTAATGTAACAATTGTAATAACTTTAACAAATTATTTAACTGTTTAATTTTAATTCACAAGATATTAAAACAAAAGTTTCTTTCCCTATTTCTTAACTATATAGGTTAATTCTGTAGCTAAAATTAACTCAAAGCAAATTTTATTCCTCAAAATTAAATTTTATCGTTCAGTTTATTTACTTAAAAGATAATACAACTAAGTGTATTTGTGTTGTTCCTTACCCAATAAAATTGACCTTTGGTCATTAAAATCAAATTTGTTTTTCTGAAAGAAGTGTCTCCTTTACATTTAAGGATAAAAATTTGTTCTACATTTCAAGGCAGTTAATATATTTTGGCATATTTTTTCATTATCATTTTAATTTAGAGTAAATTTTCAACTTAATTCTTTTTTTTTTTTCACACTTGTAACTTTAATATGCTATACAAATTTAAATTTAATATGCCATAAAACAGATGACTCATTATTCATGAAGCACAACTAACTGCAACTTTTAATTTCTATGCTACAGTCATTAATACAATATTTTAAACTAATGGGCAATTCTATGGTTAAGTCAACCAGATGACCAAAATTTTAAACTCTAAGCAACAACTTATTTTTCAGCCAACAAGATATAATTTTAAAGATAAAATCCTGAAGATTTGATAATAACGTTAAACTTATTAATACCAGTTTTCAATAAGCTATAGGCTGTTAAATGAAAGGCTATGTTATTTGAAATTTTTAATAACAGTAAGTGAATCTTTTAACAAGTACATTTTTTTTCTTTGAAAAATTCACTCTAATAATAGGATATGGAATAAATAATAATTAAACTGTATTAAAGGTTATCTAGCACAAATGTGTAGAAGCATTTAACATTTTGATTTAATAAAAAAATTCCCAAGAAGCACTTTTGAGATTTTACATCTGACACCAAAATACATAATTGTTCTATTCAACTGAGATTTAACGTAATAAAAGTATTTTTTTCTGTTTAAAGCAAGATTATATGTCTTGTTTGTATAATCTATTTTGAAAATAATTAATATTTTTATTGTAAATAAATAATTATTTTTACATCTGACAACATTGCTTCTCTTTTCATTACATTTGTTTTCACCTATTTAAATCTTATATTTTGCTTTGTCATAAAATGAAGCGAAATATGAATAAAACCATCTAAATATTTTTTAAAATTAATTTAGAATATTGTATTTTCCCTCAGAAACCTATATTCTCTCTTGCCCTCTGTTAGCTATGCCACTAAATGCAAGTAATAGGTCTTTAGCTTAATATCCCTTGCTTTGATAGATCAAATACAATTGATTATAATAACTGTATGAAATGATTATTTAATACTATGCAAGTGATAGATAAAGCAATAAAATTGTTATTTTCCCTGTGCAAAAAGATCTTTTTTTTGGCCAAAAATTTTTTAGACAGATATAAAAAATAGTTTTTTTTCTATTGATGCACGGTAACAATAATTTTGTTATTGCATTTAATATTTTGTTAATATTTTGTTTAATATTTTGTTATTGCATTTAAAAAATTGTGAAACTTTTCACAATTTTTTCCTGTTTTTTATATTGTTTATAAAAATAGAAAATATTTTAGCAACAGTTATTAAATTTTTATTTCAGGATTTTTAACATTATTAGATTTAAGGAAATAGTGCTAAAAATGAGTTGTATTTGCATTGCTGTTAATATACACTGCACAGTTAAAATTTTCAACTAACTTTATTAAGATAGGTGGATCAATGTTTTTTATTACATTTTCTATTTCAACAGAAAATAGAGAGCAATTTAATTTTAAAGAATTTATGTAATGGAAAAATTAATGTTTATAGTATTAAAGTAAAAATTAAAGTAATTTTCAATATTTATAGTTGTCTTGAATTTATATCTAACCTGAAAAATTTACATCAGACACCCAAGTAAAAAAAAATTTGATTAATTATACATTACATTGTACTCACTAAGAATTACCTGGAATTCTTTATGTAAATCTCAGTTTCTAAATTCAGTCAAGTTAACAATAAAATTATAAACAAATTCACAGAGTTTAGACAATTTGTAAATGAGTAGTCATTTTTATCTTGTGTATAATTTAGGCCAATACTGGCAAATTAATCCATTATTATTATCAGTTCTTATAAAACAAACTTTTTTACTATTCCTGATGTACCAAGTATTTGATATAAAAAAGGGATCATTTTAAACTTAAAATATATTTTATGAGAGTTTTTTCAAGAAATTTGTTTATTTTTTATGTCTAACACCATGGAACTGCCCTAATGTTTAAACTAAGAAAAGTATTAATTTTGTAATTTTGACTATTTAAATAATTAGATTTTCATGAAAATAGATTTAAAAAAAAAAACTGCAATGAATTTTATTCAAAGTGAAAATAATCACTATTAACAGGATTGATTTCGATATTTTAATATTTGAGTTGCTTATTATATGGTATGCTTAGTCCTCATGAAAATTTTCTCCATTATTATTAATACTTTCAATCATTTATTTTTAATGTTAAGAACATTCATTAGTGAAAAAAAATTTCTTAGATCTTATATATTTACATAAATATACAATACTGAATTTTTAAAATTATTAAGGAGTATGCAACATTAAAATAAGATTACAATAAGTGAATGCTGTATTTAAGTCATTAGAAAAATATATATTTAATTAAATTTAAAATCTTAACAGTAACATTTATCTATACACACTTTGATCATAGTTATTTCTCCTTGCAAAAAGAAAATTATAGTTTTCTTTTGCCTCTTATTTAAAAATGTGAGCTATTATTAGTTTATTCGTTATTTTTTTTAGAAGAGCAGTTTTTTGTTTAATCTTGAAATAAAGGAAGGATAATACTTAATCATTTTATTTTTTATGATAACTGTTATTTTAAAACAAAATGAAAAAAACTACACAGAAATTCTTAAGAATCAAAAAATTTTAGATTTTATAAACACTTTTATTTAATTAAAATACTTTTTAATAATTGTCTATTTTTAAATATTTACAAAATTTTAGGTCCTATAAATTATTTTGTATTTCAAATTTTCATTTTAAATCCTAATGTTCTCCAAATTTTTAAAGCATTTATTTATATTTTAATTTCTTAGTGATGACACTTTGCTTGCCTCAATGTTTCTTTAAAACTTCTGAATGATATGAAATTAAAAATTATCATAAGTTATTATCCTATTATTATTAGTTATTAATTTGCCTCATTTATTTTCCTTAATTACTTTACCTCATTTATAAAATCACCATTTGATTACAATGATTAAAAGCAACATTGTATGTGGTATATGTTGCCTTGTTTTATTATTTATTTATTCAATTATTGCTGTTATTTTTTTTTTTAACGAAGTGTAGCTCTTTAACATGTTAGAACCTTATTTTTGTTTTGAAAAAATTATTACTAAATATACTTGATAAATTGTATGGTTTTTTAATTAAAAAATCACTTAATCGTTCAACTCTACATTAAAGGTTTAAAACAATTTAAATTAAAAATTATTATTAATTACTTTGACATATTAATAAATTTCATAGTTTAAGGTAATTTGTGTGCTTTTTATTTTGAAATAAGAAACACAGGTTGCAGCAATCTTGACTACATTTAAGAGTAATGTTGCTTATTTTATGTCACATACACATCAAAACTTATTTGTTAGATTAAATTATGAGCGAACACTTAATAAATTTTACATGCGCATTGCTTTTTATCAAATGAAAATAACAATTACTAAGATTTATACATTAAACATTACATTTTTACTAATTGCATAAACAAAAAAGTATAACATTGAAAATATTTAACAATTTAAATTCAAGTATGTTTTTGAGAGAGATTAGTCTTGTAAAGTGAATGGTGGTGAAAAAAAAGTTTCTTAATATGTGTGTTAAAATATTCCTTGCTATTCAATTTTTATTGAAAAAATAAACTCAATGTATAAAGCATACTTATTTTTAATAATACTTTATTTTGTTTATGTTATCTTTGTTGAATGAAATGTTGATATATATGAATTTTACTGTCAATAAATAAATTTGACTAATCCTGTGCCTTACATAAAGATATAACTTTCTGCATAAATTTATATATATTCATGTATGGTGTCGAATTGAAATTTTCCACTGTAAGGAAAATCTGTTTAACTTTTAATTTTGATTCCAAAAGACATTATCCAACAATAAAATGATTTATCTTTCTAACAAATGATATGTTGAGTTTCATGAATTAGCGTAGCATACAATAATCTACATTATACAAGTTATGGTCAGAAATATATTAATTTTAATCAGTGAATAAAAATATTTTGAATTTTTCCATTGTTTAAAAATAATTCCTTCTAATATGAGGTTTTTTTTTCTCTCTCTTCCAGAAAGCCATTTAATTATTTTTTTCAAGGTACTTGTTGGATAAAACATGTTTTAAACAAAACTTATTTCTGCAGTATAATTTTGAAAAATTTTACTTCCAAAAAGGAAAATAGCTGTCTTGCCTCTGTTTCTGCTGACCAGTCTGCCACTATGCTTTAACTACACTTTTCCATGCACATAATTATGTGCATTGCCATGTATTTGTTTGGGAAAATGGAGAAATAAACTCCTTTTATTGAAAGTATGACTTACTGTAAGTCTTTGCTTATTTTGTAAATTTTATAAATAAAATTAAGCTTATTTTTAAAATGATAGATATGTGAATAAAATTACTATGGTAATATTCTGGAAATTATATTTTAATTGAAAAAATATTAGTTCAATTATGAAAAATAAGTTTTTACCATTAATTTAAACACATTGCAATGAGTTCCTTAGATGGCAGTCTAATTTTCATAAATTTTATTCAAAAAGTAAGATTAGGTATGCCAATTTAAAAAGTATGTTTTCATGACATAATACTATTAATTTATGTTAATATTTTTCATCTATACAAAAATTTTCCCCTAAATTTGTCACTATTTACATACATCAGAGCATGCTGACTTATATTTCTTTCTGATGATAATTCTCATCCTCCCTAGAAGTGTTAGCAACCTAAAATATTGTATATCAAGTGTGTAAGATAAATTTAACTACATTTTAAATTTTTACTTGGCTCTCAAATCTTTCATTTTAGCATGTTCTTAGCTAGTAAAATGAATGTAAAAATGTTCTCAATTTTTTTTGAACAGTAATACAATATGACCAGTAACTCGTTTAAAATTGCACATACTCTTTTTATTTGATTAACCTTATCTATTTTGTTACTTATTTTATCTCATTAAATACGTAAGGCATTCAATCTATTCTTTATTTTACATTACATAAGAATTATTTTTCAACCCTGTGATGGGTGCTACATTCTTACTTGATTGTGAGAGTAAACCAGTAAGTGATTATCATTTGTGTAAGAGATTTGTTTGTCCTCTCCCTCCCTATTTCATTTTTTTTTTCTGTGGCCCTTCAAATTCACCATGAAGTGTAATCAACAATTCTAGCTTTGCTCCTTTTGTCTGAGGGTTGCAGGCTGGGATTTGTTGTCGATTAGATTTGGAAACAAATCAAAGTGTTTCGAATCAATAGTCAGTTCACTTTGGTAATTCAAATCATTTACTGCTTTTATTTTGTGTATCATGTCTTTTAAAAGAGTTAGATAATCATATCATCTTGGTAAGTAAAAATTCCAGTTATTTCATTGTTTTTAAGCTTGTCAATTACAAGATCAATCAATGTCTGGAAAGAAGATGCTTTTGTCTGGAGCCCAAAGGCTAAACGTTTATGGGGAAAATGTTCTAAAAAGGGTAGTAAAAGTAAGTAAATCCTGGTTGTGGTACTAAAAATATGTAGGGATGTAGAATGCAACACAAAAATGTAGAAAGCAATCAAAAAAATTTTTAAAAACAATTAATTTCAATCTTCATTTTTTTTTTTTTTTTTATCGCATGAGCATAAAAATCATGTTGACTGGGGAATTGCAACTTAAATTCATAAGTAGGATTTAAAAAAAAAAACAGTAACATTCTATATATCTATTATATTTTTTTGAATAATTAGAACTCATACTATTGCATTTCCGGATATTTACCAATCATTCCAGTTTATTAGATATCTTAACGAGGAATATGACCAGCTTGTTCAGAAGATCTTTCATTGGAAAAAGGAACCGCTCACTTTCGAAAATATTCTTATTGGATTGATTGCAGAGAAAGAAAAAAAAACGAGAATCGCCATACGGGAGCAAGACCGATAAGCAGGATCCCAATACGATGTTCAGGGAATCTTCTAAACGTTAGACCGTCTAAAACCTAACACATTAAATACAAGAAAAATTATCCTAGAAAACCTGCACCTTGCTATCAGAATATGCACAAACATTTATATATCTACATGACAGATTTTCCTCATCTAGATATCCAAAATATCCACATGATAGGTTTTCCTCATCTAGTCAATCAACTTCGCCTCGTTGAAAAGGTACATCCCAAAGATGTCTAAGAAAATAACCTTCCAATAGCTCAAAAGCTAGTCGGAGTAAGATATGCCAGAAACTAATTTTATTTGCGAGGTGAATCTCATTGAACGAGGACGAGCTAGTGGCTGGGCGTTACCGCTTCTACTCATCATCTATGCATAGCACATATTTGCAACGCTAGAACCTGTAATCGATCGAAGTCTTACAATTACAATCAAGGGCAAATCGATATCCCTCAAATAGGAATCGTATCCTTAGTTTTCGCAATTGCAGAAAAATAGAATTTAAGTAGAGCTTATACATACCTCAGTTACATAGAAATATATCTGGGTCATGGCTAGAAGAATGATATAATTATCAAGGAGGTGACAAAAGGGTAGATATATATCTTTTCTACTGCCTACAAAAAACTGACATATACTATATGCCAACCCTACCACCACGAGAGATGAAGAAAAATGCCGTGGAGGCACAACTGAAAAATTCTCAAACCAATGGAAACAAGTATTGTAACTATTTAAATCAACGTCAAATACCTAGCATTTCCAAAAATTTTGACGTTCTGGCAACCAAAACAGTGACAACTCAGTAATAAAAAAATGGACATGTGGCACAAACTAGGCTATATTAGCCTTGACCTCTTCATTCGTTCCATCAACAACAAAAAAAACGTACAAGGTGTGCCACCAATTAGGTCAACGGAATACTGCTGACTGAATAAATCACAGTGTCTCCTTCAAGTCCGTAGGAGATATATCTTCCCAGCCTTTAGATCTTTTCAAAATTGATCTGTGGGGGCCTGCAACCATTAAAGGATACCGTGGAGAAAGGAATATGAGCATTACTGACTACTATTCAAGAAAAATTGCTCTATATCTGCTGAAACAAAAGTTTTCTTTCGAAGACTCAAGGCCATTCGAACTGACAATGGTCAGGAGTTCGACGATAAGAAATTTCAAGAGTATTGCCCGAAGAACGTAGTTAAACACGAACTTTCAGATGCATAGTCGTCTGAAATGAACGGTGTTGCTGAAAGAGTAAATCTGACAATCGGTAACTCTCTTTGCACCATCCTCAATTTGACCTAAGTTTCACCATGCTACTGGCCTGAGGCCTTTCTCTATGCTGCGTATCCCTGGAACAGAGTCTGCAGAAAGGAAAGAGACATTACTCCTTATGAGCTCTACAGCGGTAACAAACATTTAAAGCCCCCCCCCCACCGCCGTGCAACGTTTGCCCCCTATCGGAACAGACTTAAAAATCGATGAGAAATATAATCAATTTCTCAACAAAACAAGAAACTAGTTTTTTTTTTGTAAATACGAATAAATTAGAAACATAAAGACAAGAATGGGTTCTTTTTACTTACACTTTACCACCAACTTCCTGTACAATTTTTCTCTGAAAATTCTGAGGGACAAGTCTTTTGTTTGTGTTCATAATGGAACGATATTCAACACCCTCGAGGGATTGGGGGAGACAAGAAGACTGTCCTAACCCCATCGTCCTCGCTTTACCACATTTTTTAAGACTGACTATAACACATGCACACTTTCTCCACATTCAATAACCATAAGTATGTTACGCATCACACCATTTAACGTAAAGAATTCTTTTTTTAAATTATTTGGAAGGAAAGAAGTAAGTTTGTTCTGTCAATCTTTCTTTTTTTAAAAAAAATTTACTCTTAAATAGTGTATTTATTTATATATGCTAATAATTTCAAAAAACGATATAACATATTAAGGTTTACTCATTTTGCCCTCGCCTAAGCAATTCACGGCATGATTATCTCCCGTCTATTTATATTTAAGTTGCGTGCACATAGTAGACTAAATGAATCAAATTAAAACAATCATAAAATGACTAAGTATGAAACTTACTACTACTCTAAATATGCTAAAAAAATCTGATAAATTGGGTGATATATGTCAGGGCTAAAGAAAATAGAAGGGCTCGTTCACTACTTTGAAGAAACTCTCGCCGCGCCAATTCTCCGATTTTCTCTAGTGACGTCACTTTGGCGCAAAGCTCGCACTTTTACTTCAAGAAGAGAGCGTTCGGCCTTACTAGCTCTAACTAATATTGGAACATTTCTTTTTGTGACATATTCTAAGACATTTGCTATTTTCTATAATGATTTTCCTCAGTTTTTGCCGCGAATTTATAAAATTTTAAAACTATTAACGAAATGCCAGTTTGCGCGATTGCAACTTGCAAAAATTCTGATAGAGAAACAAAAGGAAAAAATATAATTTTCCGCGTGTTCCCTAAAGTAAATGAACAACTATGTAAAGAATGGATTCACAGTTAATATAAAACAGAAATACGTTTTTTCTATCGTTAAGAACTTTTATAAAAATTCGTTATCTAAATAGAAACCGCCTCGTTACTTCAAAAAGAAAGGCATGTGAAAAAAAAATTAAAAAATGGATAAAGTCAAAGAAAATTAAAACGTACGTAAAAAGTATAAATAAAATATATAGTGTACAGTTGAGATTCTCCTAATTTCATAACTTATTTTTTAATGTAGTTATTCTAAAAATTTACGATTCCTTATTCTCTTAAATTTAAATATCTATAAACAATTATAACATTTCTAATGTCATTATGAACCTAAATTATTATTTTGTTTCAGTAATTAGCGTTTAAGGTTGATGTTTCCTAATGATTAAGTATGAACAAATTGCTATTAACGGCATATTTTAAAATCGGGGATTCTAAATTTAACTCAACTTATTGTTATAAAAGAATATGTAGATAAAAAGTGTCAATATATGCTTTCAGTTTTCTCATTAATTAAAGTTAAAACTGAACTAAAATAAAGTATTTATAGTGTCATTTTCGCCAACTAGTAAAATATTTTTATAAGTTTAAAATGGTATTTTTTTTTAATATAAAGGCCAAGAAAGTTTTTTTAAACTATGTTTATGAATGGAAATAATGTGTTAGTTACGTAAAGTTTGAAAGCTAATAACCAGAAAAAGTCTAATTTATTTTTACAAAGAGAAAGATGCAAAGTTATCATAATATCTTTGCGTGCGATCTTCCGAGATCTGTGAACACAGTGACGTCATGAGGAGGGAAATCGTAGCTTCAACTCGAAGAGCGGAGTAAACTAGCCCTTCTATTCTCTTTAGCCCTGGATATATGTACTGTAAATGCAACTATGAACATCTTTACTTAAACTTTCAAATAAAATTATTGAGTTGTACTTTTACTTTTTTTAGCCTAATATGTTGTTTTCAAGCTATATTTTAAATATAAAGTTGATTAAAGAAATTTTTCACCATATTTTCTAGAAGAAATATAATGACCTCAGTATTAAATATTGTTTCAATATTTTTCTTCTTAATCAATTTTATTTCAATGTCATTTTGTTCAAAATACTAAGCAATATTAAGTGATTATATATTTAATTTCCATTGAAGATTATTTTTTTCAGTTTTTAGCGCTATGTTTAAAAGATATTGAAAAACTTTCCTTATACACTTCCCCGGATGCCCCTTGTTGGGGCGGGGTTAAATTAAATTACTGATTGTTTTTAGCACAAATTTACCAGTTGAACATTCATTATTGATAGTAATCATACTCGCTTTTAAATTATGTCAAGACACTTTAAATGTTATAAGAGATGAACTATTAGCAGTCTATTTTTCATTCAATAAATCTGTTAGTTCCATTATTTACCGCAGAATAAAAAAACTTTTACAACACAAAACTAAAAATGAACACAGTTGGAATTTTTACTTCGAAAAAAATTTCACAGCTTTTATTAAACCACTTTCGGAAACAAAACAGCCAAGGCAATGTAAGCAGTTATATATTTATACACAGAAGAGTGAACAAAATTGAAACAGTAACAATATCAGTCTTGTAAAATCAAAAGTGGCCACCGTCACAACACCACGAACAATTGATACTGAAGATACCACACCATTACAGGAAACATCATTCTATGAAAAGAATATTAAGATCCAGTCTGATGTGCACAATGCATTATTTGAAAAGAACATTAGTCTCTATTCTCACAGAAATGGAATGTGATGTATGAATGCAACACAGATGTTGGAATATCAATTCCAGCTCCTCTCCACATATCTTCAAATTTCAAACAGTATCACTCTATATAAGGATAGAACCATTCTATAAATAAATATACTTAAGTAAAAGTAATTTTTTAATGAGTAGTAGATAACATTATTGCAGTGTCGATTGTCAGCTGTATTAATTGTAAAAGCATTTGTAAGAGCTTAGTATTCTTGTCACCAGATAGCAGCACTACATAATTTTAAATTTAGAGCCTTAAAATTAACATTAAATTATAGGCTCTGTCTATAGCATTAAATTGAAACAAATTATTAATAAGCAATATACTTGCAATATACTTCTTTTGATTAAATAAGCAATATACTTCTTTTGATTAAAGTGTTCACTAAAATCGCTTAAACAGAATTAAATTGGAAATATACCCATTTTTTTTATCTACATATAAGTAAGTATGCAGAGATATAAAAGCCTTTTTAGTTTACAAATACTCATTTTTTGTCTAAATAATTGTCATAGAGAAATTTTATTACTACATATCAGGGATCACAGCTTCTTATAAAAAATTCAAAAAGTGGTAGCCTATTTACTAAGTATCAGACATAAGTTTTAATTAAAATTTATGCTAACAAAATACCCAATTTTCACCTTAATTAGAAAAAAAGTAACAATAGTGTTTACAACTAAATATTATTATTCAAATTGTTAACCTAAAGTGGTAGAACAGCTCGTTTCATTCATAAATTAATGAAAAACGTTGCATTATTTTCACCAATATTTTAAGTTTAATAGTTTGACCCCTTCATCATTATCCAATAACCAAACATAGTTTTACTAGTTACAAAGTTAACATGTCTTGAATTGATTATAAGACTTAACCCATAACACCCATTTTTCAAGAAACTTGCCAGATCTCATAACCAAAAAATTTCAATGCATCTTGCTCTTTTAGAAAAAAAATATTAATTTTTAATTTATGATAGCATTTTTAAAGAAAAAACCTAAATAATAGCTAACAAAGAAAAAAAAACCCACTGGAAATCAACAGAGTGACCTATAACTTGTTTTGTAAAAGCATTTCTCATATTGCTGTTGCAATAAAAAATAAAGGTAAATGGGTTAAGTATACAGTTTATCTTAAAGTATTTCAATTAAATAAATTTTGTTGATGCAAAGCAATATCAGATTCTTCAAATGTCATGTTTTAAGACCTGACAATTACCAAGTAAAAAAATTTTAAACAAAGATTAGATGATGATCTATTAAAAATACATATCTATATTACTTATGACTTAATTCTAGGAATTTTGCACCTTTACCAAGCAAAGTATTTGCTTTATAGGGAGTGCTACCAAAAAACCTCTATAATTTAAGTGAATAGTGATGTAATTAACAAACAAATGAACAGTACATTTTCAACACACATTAAAGATTGATCGCATTAGTTTGTTTTTATAATGACGTAAACTTAAAAGTTTTAATTTATATGAAAAGAAAAATGTCACGAACAAACTTTTTTAAAAGCAAAATAATAATTTTATAAATTCTTAAAATATTCAATCTGAAATAAATCATTAATAAAAGCGCTTTAAAATTTAGTACGAGATATCACCATGTTACAGATTACATCTACAACACGGACTAAATTAACGGATGTTTAAATGTATAAATCATTCAAATTATTAATTGTATACGCGATTATTTTGTAATTATTGATTGTTCAATAGTTTATGAACAATTCTAAAAAAATATTCAATACCTTCAAAAATTTGCGGCAAGAAATAATAAATCACTTTCTTCTGCTAACAACTGCTAAGCCGTCTTAAAGGTTTGGTTCACAAACGGATTTAGCTTTCAGCTCGTATGGAAGGCCCATGTTCATTGCTCTTTAAGGATGGTTGGCCGTGTAAAGCCAAGCGCAGATGGCGCTAGGGGTTAAAATTCGTCATAAGACTTCCGGGTTTCTTCTTCCGTCTGATTTTTGCTCCTTAGCTTGAAAAAACGCACCATCCAATATTAGTAGAGTTTGCAATATAACGCGTTCTTTCAATTTAACTTTCAACGAAAGAAACAACACACGAGTTTGGAACACTCCGCAAGCTTGCTACCTAAAAAATAACCAGTTGTGCTATTTTACACAAATATAGCTAAATAAGAGATAACACTCAAAACATGGCTAACCTTACACTTTATTTATGCAGTGACATTAATTTTGTAAATTGCAATTTATAAATTGCAAAAAACTCTTATGAATGGTAAAATTACGCTTGAATTTTAACACAAATCACAATATTAAGCCTGTATTAAGCACGTAAAATATTAAGCCTGTTTACATATCGCCTCGTAAACATAAGTGTAGGGATACATCGGGAGTTTTCTAAATTTCTTCCAGTTATAAGAAGCTTGTTATTGTTTACATTCAGTCCGTCATCAATTGTCACCTGGATGTTTCAAATTCTTCTGCGATCTCAATGTTGATGTCCATATTAATTTAGTACCTGACAAGTTCGCAGCGCGTGAATGTGCCCTCTAGCGGAGAGGAAATTTTCAGATCATTATTTATGAAGTTTCCAACAGAATAACTAAATAGGTAGGAAGCGTTTTTTCCGCTAGTAAATAGGAAACAAAATTTCTCTAAAAAACTGAAGAACTTGACAAAGCAATCTTTTTGAAACAGGACGCAAACAGTATTTCAAGAACATTTTCCTTTAATGCCTTCCTTATCAAAAAACTTCCAATATAAATTCGTTAAACTGAGAACTTTCAATGATCTTTCGTGATCGCATACAATTCCGGATATTTATTACGGTAAAATGAAATTTCTTAATGCTCAATTCATTTTAAATTAAAATGAAGATATTTCTGTCCTTCGCCTACTTTATTTCAATGAATAAATGTGGTTTAAGAGCGTGCGGAACTGTAACAATTCTTGAACATTATTTCTTCTTTTTTTTATAAAATATGATGTCCCGCAGAGAACTGATCGTAAAGACACGGTTCCCAGTAGAGCACCGAATTCAAACATCACAGGCTGCTGTCAGTGAGCGGGTGGGTGACCACTTTGATCAACCTGCGTAGGGACCGAGGATGTACGGTATCGGTCCTGGGTAAACTGTTCTACCTTAAAGTGCTCGACTTCGTGTGCAGGTTGTCGGACTCCCAAAGCAGGGGAGCCATCCCCTCTACAGAGTATCAAAATTGTGATGGCATGTCTTCCTATCATCCTCAGTGATGTTTCCCAGACCGTCGCCAATAGCCCTTTGTGCAGCTGTAGTGCGACACAACTAAAGTACCTACCTACTTTATGGAATAATATATGTAATTCGGAAAACAGCGGTAAAAGATCATCAGATTTACTTGAAATAGAACATTAACATTTGTGCTGATTATTAATAAATATTTAATATTTTTTTGTTAAGTATTTTTGTAATTTTGAATGATCAATTTCAACTAGATTTTAGCAATTTTGTTTTTAGGTTACATATTGAAATTCATATCGAGACCTTACAATTAAAACTTTATAGTAAGGTACGTCATCTCAAAGTTATGAAGTGATAATCTATGTATATATTTGAGAATAAATTTTTTAAATCAAAGAACATTTTATTTTGGGATTCTCCAGACTTGTGAGGCTAGTAAGTGTAATGATTTTATAATAAAAAATTGACTTGTAAATATTTTTTTTTCTAATTTGATGATAGTTCTAAATAGAATGGTTTTCCACGTCTGAAAAAGAACTTTAACATTAAAAGAAAAAAAATCAACTCAGTATGAAAATTTTTAGGGCCAATTTTTTTAATTTATAAGCATTCTTTATTTTGCGTTTTTAGGTTTATAAGTAATGATTTTTTTATTAAAAATTTAAACTTTTCTATAAAATTGTTGTCAAAAAACTTGTTTTCCGAAATTAAATTACATAAGATTATGTTTCTATATACTTTACCTACTTAAATGTTTGAAATAATTTGAGTCAGAAAATTGTGGGATGTAAAGTTTAAAAAAACTACTCATATTAGATCATTAAATTTAGTTGAGCAATTTCTGGAGAATTTGGATTTCTTTCTCATAAGAATATACCTATTATTCGTTTTACTTATTTGCAAATATTTTTCCAATGTGTTTTAGATAATCCATCTTTGAAAGAAAAAGAGATTATATTTCAATATCTGTATTCTATATTGTCACCTGCATAAGAAGGAATATCAGTTTTTTTTTTTCAAATTTAATAAGCCACAAGAAGGGACGCAACCATGCTACACTGAAGAAATTGCCAGAGCAACTGAACGTACTGTTCTTCCAGCAGTCATTTGTCGCAAATAACAACGCCCCCTATTGGTCGTTGCTTTCGAGAATATCTTTATGCCACTTGGGAGATTATTTTTATTAGTCGAATAATAAAAATTAGTTGTTTATGAAATAAATCAAAGACTTTTCAATTTTGAGTTTTTATTCACAAAATTACGGAAATTTCATTTAGAAAATAATAATATTATACAATTTAAAAAAAATTTATTTATTGGTAAACTATAAAACTTTAAATAGAAGCTGAAAATTATGAATAAAAAATTACGATTTTAAAGCACATTTTGAACGGTACATGCGGATTATTTTGAATGGTTGATTAAATGTGAACAATACCAAGCGTCTGTAAACCGGAAGAAATTTAGAAAGCTTTCAGTGTATTCCTCCGCTTATGTTACGCTTACGAGGCAATGTGTGATCAAGCTTAATATTGTAAGAAGTTTTATTAGTGTGATTTGCGCGTAATTTTACATTTTATAAGAGTTTATTGTAATTTATAAACTCTAACAGGTCGTAAGCCTAAAACAAATTTAAGAAAAATAATTTCACAACATAAATGAAGTGTAAGGTTTGCCATTTTTTGAATGTTATCCCTTATTTGGCTGTATTAGTGTACAATATCGCTGTTTTTTGCTTTTTTTTCTTCTTCTTTTCGATAGAATCATATCATGCTTGTGGAGTTTCCCAAATTCATTTATTGTTTGTTTCGTAGAAATTTTAATTAAAAGTACGCATTATAATGTAAGTATTACAAGTATAAGTTTAATAGTACTGGATGACACACTTTTTCAGGCTCAGGCGTAAAAATCAATCGAAAATAGTAACCCCGTTAGTCTTACGACGAATTTTAACCTTAAGCGCCATCTGTGCTTAGCTTTACGCGATCAATAACCAGTATATTTTTCATGTTAAAAATAAATCTTGTAAATTTTATAGTAGTATAGTTCATTTACGTCACACTAGAGCTGCACAATGGGCTATTGGTGACGGTCTGGGAAATATCCTTGAGGACGAACCGAAGACATGCTATCACAATTTCGATCATCTGCAGAGGGGATGGCACCTCCGCTTCGGTAGCCCGACTACCTGCACGCGAAATCGAGCACTTTACGGTAGAACAGTTCAACGATCGGTCCCTACGCAGGCTGCTCCAAGTGGTCACCCACCCGCCCACTGACCGCAGCCAGTGATGCTTGACTTCGGTGATCTGCTGGGAACCGTGTCTTAACGATCAGTCCACTGCGGGACTTTTATAAGAAATTTTATAAGATGCAACATGTTGTAGAAAAAGAAGCTTTGGACTTGCAAACATTATAACTTGAAAGTAATAATAATAAAACATTATTAGTTGAAAGTAAATCAGTGGTGCCGAATCTTCCTTGGCCTGTCACCCCAGCTATTGCCCCCCCTCTAACTATTCACTGCCACTTATCCCCCTTCTCTATCTCTCTTTTTATTTTTTTTAATGATTTTTTTTTGCTCAGAAAACTATGAGTTGTCACTATAAGCATCAATAATACTAAATTGAAAAAAAGTGAAAATGTATATTTTTTTGCGTTTTTAATTTCTTTTCTTTATTTTTTCATAAAGAAGAGATATTTGAAGCAAAATAATTTAGACAGGCTTACATTTTTTCATCGAAATCTGGAAGAACTGAAAGCGTTGATAATTAAAATTTGAAAACTATTTTATCGTTATAGCGACTTCCTTGAGATTTCAGTTAAAACATGAATGTTCGTCAGAGGTCCGCTTTCAAGGAAATGCTCACCATGTTTATTTCTTTGTTCTGAGAGGATCTAGAAGACAGAACTTTGTTTAACCCGATGTATGATTAAAAAGATCAGAAAATTTAATTTATTTATATTATTATTTTTTTAATTCGTAATTCCTTTTCTGAGCTTTGAAAGATTGGTTTTGTATACATTTTTAATTTCGATATTCTCTAGCTTTTATTATTATTTGAATTTATTTTCTTTTCAATACTCACCACCCCCTGAAGATTATTGCCTTATTAAAAGGAGAAATCCCCCCAATTTTGGAAATACTACAATAAAACATAAAATAATGTGTAAATCTAAGTCATGAGCATAATGTATATATGTTTAGGTGATTTTATTGGAAGCTTTTAAAATTAAAGTGAGATAGTTTTGCAATGAAACTGATCCAATTAAAATGAAGCACAATAAAGTAAGATTGTATAGATAAGAAAGAACCATTGGTTAAATGCAGAGCTGCGAACTGCTACGCCTTTTGCAAAATAGTTTATAGAGTGGTAAGCAATTAAAAAACTAAAGTTTTCAGAATGTTTGGTAGTTTTGCCAACATTTTAAAAGTCTCATCACGAGAGAGCTGGAGCAAAGTGGGTTTCAAATAAGCTTTTGAATCATTAACATGCACTGATGGGGAAAATAACTTCAAATCGAATTAACAATATGAAGAATCATACGTTAAAACCAAGTCTTTGGAATGACTAGAAGACATTTCCATGAAAAGAGTGGATAGTTGGCTTAACATGGTTTTTCCACACACACATATTCTTTTTATAAAATATGCTTATTTAGGCCTTTTCTATTCAATTT